TTATATATGTATATATTCACTCGGATCGTTACTTTCTTCATTCCTTCTGTAGGGGCCATAGCAGATCTGAATACATTGGTTTCATTAGACATGGTGAAGCTGTGATTTGTGATATGCATGTATCGGACTAAATAACTCGTATTCCCTCATTGAGTATTTTCGGAGCGAACAGATCCCGAAAATGTTGGTAGACAGCGTTTTGAAGAAGGTGTACTCGTTATTTTCGACCATTTTGACAAGTTGCTAAGGTTAGCAGCCGTCTGTTGGACTGATTTGTTTTCTCTGAGCGTCTAAAGAGATCACCGTTTTGTCAATGTTTTGAATAAACCATGTGTTCCAGAGGCATATTCAGTGGTGTTTTATGACAAGGCGAAGCATATGTTGGTAAAAAAATTTAATAAACCATAATAAACCGAGGTAGAGGTGAACAATCACTTTATCACAGTTCTATGCAACATAAAAACCAAAAAATTGGTTTATTTTCGCTGATATGCCTAAAATGGTCGGAAATTAAACCTTTTCCACGCGATTCGGTCTCTTCGGCATATCGGAGGTGAATTTTTACTTTCCAACCACTTCCGATAAAGCCAATTGGCGGGTAGAAAGCACTTTTCGCCTTTTCGGTATATAACTGGAGTTATACTTCGGCTTGCCCTTTTAATCTTGCTACATAATGTCGAGTCTACTTTTTAACATTCCTTCTCTTTGTTGCTTTTTCAATGCAACAACTTAGGTTATCCCCAAATTCGTCAAGTTCAGTATGTTTGGACGCGTGCAAGTACACTGTCGAGTCGTCTTCATGAAATGCTTTTTTTTTATGAATTCCTATCGCGCAATTGAAAACCTTGGTGAAAGCCTACGAAAAATAATAGGAAAGCCAAGCAATGGAAGTAGACGGAAATTGAAATTGTTTCCTTTTTCATCAACTCCCCGTTTTTAAGGAGAAAAGTTGTCCCGGGTAACAGGGTCACCCTCTCAGCCGAGTCAACTTCAGCGGGTGTTTATATATATATATGCGTTATTTAACCAAGCTTGTTCGGTTAAGATGGCTGGATATTGGCCGAGTTCTTTTCTTTAATTTTTATGGACCGAGACGAAGTCGAGGTCCATAAAAATGCGAAGAAAGAACGAGTCTAATATCTAGCCATCTTAACCGAACAAGCTTGGTTCATAAAGGATTCATTATATTGCAAAAAGATTTCGCTTTATTAAGAATTAATAGCCGAGGAAAAGAGCCAACCGTGTTTCTGGCATAACAAACTCACGAGAGTTGTTTCTGTTTTCTTTGTTTGGCTATCTTCTGCCATTCTATTTTTCTTCATGCGCGGGATCGATGCAGGCAATCCCGAGCGGGCAAGATGGGCCTATCTTGCCTGCACGGGTAGCCAATCACAACACAGGATTCGCTTCATCTTGCCCACAGGCGCTGCGAGCGATGTAATAAGAGAAAATATTTGACCCCTTTGCCCGAAGCAAGAGCATGAATTGCTTTGTAGGCTTCACATTCTTCTTTCGACAAATCCTTCACAGGTTTCTCTGGCACTGTTTTCGTGCCATAGCATTATTCACAGCCATCCTACGCCGAACCTTTTCAGAAAATTTCACTTTGTTGGCATTAAAGTCGGTGGCATTGAACTCGCAAAGGTTTTGATATTCCTTCAAGCAATGAATAATCGGACTCCACAAGATCAGGGTTCCAAGAAAACTTCTCTTAATTAACAAACCCGATGAGCTAGACTCCGGTCTTGTTGCCATTTTTCCCAATGACAACAGCACTCGTTCATGCTCGGACTGTCTCGCCTCGACCGATTTGACCCGCCGGGCGAGCCAAAATGTATATATGGAGGGAAATTGACCCAACTGAGAGGGTGACCCTAACCTCGAGAAGGGTGACCTGGCTAGGAGGGTGACCCTATCATCGAGAAGGGTGATCCGGCTGGGAGGATGACCCTATCATCGAGAAGGGTGACCCGGCTGGGAGGATGACCCTTGTAATTGCTCACAATAAATCATCAAATGATTCTTATGATAGTGTTTACTGCTTACCATAAATCATCAAATGATTGTAATGATATTTATTGCTTACAATTAATTCATGATATGATTCTAATGATGTTATTTGTTGCTCACAATAAAACATCACATGATTTTAGTGAGATTTACTGTTCACAATAAATCATCAAATGATTTAAATGATGACATTTATTGCTCACAAAAAAAATCATCAAATCAGTGATTCTACTATTCTAATCTGCCCATTCTGGCCACTGCGTTTGAACAATGTTTACTGCTCTTGCACAATAAATGTTTTTTTTTTTGTCTTAAACTCGATGTTTATCAGGAGGGAGGTGTGATAGTATAAAGTATGTGATACACTCGCGGGAGAAGCTTAAAGGAGGTACCTTTAAAGGAGTGAACTTTGTGTTATTTACATACATACTGGAGATGCATGGACGGCTAGCGTCTACTGAAAAAGTTGTATAAAGGCAAATTTCTTCCCCGGGTGCCACTCCTTTAAACAAAGTCTTTGTTTTACTTTATTAACATAACATTCATGAAAATTTAAGCCAGTTAACGTACGGAAAATTAGATACTGGCGATAGTGAGAAATACTCAATTGATGTTAATGGACTGAAAACCTCGCTGACTAAGCCTAACTACACATAAATCTTCATCTATCGCCTCAAATGTTGCATTGAATTCTTCGTTTACGAGGCCGGTGCGGGATTCAAATCTCACTTAAATGAAATTTCCCTTTGAATAGACAGGATATGGAAGCTTTTGACTACAAAGCTTAAAGTCATCAGGACCTCCAAAGTTATCATTGTATGAAGCAACGTTTGAGATAAAAACACGGGCGCTCGTTGAAGCAGCTCCAGAACAGTCCGCGTTTTCATTTATCACCAGGGTAAATTTTAAGTAGATAAATTTTATGGTTTTCCCACTGGGTTTCCTCGTGAATATCCAAGTAGCGAGGGAGTGGGCCCTAGGGATTGTAGCTGGCGGAAAAATTGATTTTTTTGGAGAAGATATCAACGAATTTGAACGGGTGCCACAAAACTGCCGGTGCGAATTGTACAATGAAACAACAAATGAATGGCACTTTATCAAAACTGATACAATCAGAACTGAATCTCTTAGTCATTGAATCTCTTAGTCATTGACGGAAAGATGTACGCTTTCTGTAGAGAAGAAAATTGTCACAATGGAAGGAGGTTTGATCACAAACTGATTGAACTTTATAATCCTGAAAACAATACTCACAGTCTGATCACTAAATCAATTTTATCTTCAAGATATAACTGTTGTGTTAGGGGTCTTCCTATAAAGGTGTTCAAAGGATTTTTTAGCAACTTTAAAAGGAAAAACTTGAGTGATGATGAACTTGCTAGTGCACCTTCTGCGCTTGCACCTTCTGCGCCTACCAGGAACAAGAAAAAATGCTCAATATTTTAACCAATAAACTAATCATACCCTTTTTCATTCTTTTTAGACCCTTTATGGCTTTAACTACCGTAATGAAAATATTTCCTTACCAAGTTTAATGGATATACTCGCAAAAAGAAACGCAATACCGGGGCAAACGCTTAGCGAACTCAAAATAGTAATAATAACAATAATAATAATAATAATAATAATAGCAACCATTTCTATAGCGCCTTTTCTATAAGATTCAAAGGCGCTGTTTACAAAAATTTGATAAAGCTAGAAAGTAAAAATAATCACAAGATATTTACATTAAAACTAGGCGCTAACTACACAATAGATAAATGTACACGATAGATAGGTTATTTATCGATTCATAAACATCACGATTCA